ATTCATCCGAAGGCTTCAAATGACCACCGTTTCATCCTTGTAGCCATCGATTACTTCATAAAATGGGTAGAAGCTGCATCGTATGACAGTGTCACTCAGTCTACTATTTGCAAGTTTCTGAAGAAAGAGATTATATGTCGGTATGGTCTATCTGAGAGGATCATTACCGATAACGCTACAAACTTGAACAACAAAATGATGAATGCTGCTAGTGAGCAGTTCAATATAAAGCATCACAATTCTACTGCTTACAGACCAAAGATGAACGGAGCAGTAGAAGCAGCAAACAAAAACATTAAGAAGATAGTGGAGAAAATGACTGAAACTTACAAAGACTGGCATGAGAAGTTGCCTTTTGCTTTGTTTGCTTATCGAACCTCAGTACGAACCTCAACTGGGGCAACTCTATTTTCACTAGCTTATGGAATGAAAGCAGTGCTACCCATTGAAGTAGAGATTCCTTCACTTCGGGTCTTGACAGAAGTCAAATTGGATGATGCAGAATGGGTACAATCTAGGTATGATCAACTTAATCTGATAGATGAAAAGAGACTGAAAGCCATTCATCATGGTCAAATCTATCAGAAACGAATGATCCGAGCACATAATAAAAAGGTATGCCCGAGAATATTCTGCAAAGAAGATTTGGTACTAAAAAGAATTTGGCCAGTCCAGAAAGATTTTCGAGGAAAATGGACGCCAAATTGGGAAGGACCTTATGTCGTGAAAAAAGCTTTCTCTGGAGGAGCCCTTGTCCTGGCTGAAATGGACGGACCTGAACTGCCACATTCCATCAACTCGGATGCAGTCAAAAAGTACTTCGCTTAGGATGAAAACCCGAGAAAAAAAAGAGAAAAAAAAGGAAAAAACAAAAAAGAGAAAAACGTTTAGGGTGAAAACCCGAAAGGGTGCCCTAAATTGAAAAAAAAAAAAACAACAAAAGAAAAAAAAAAGAAAATAGGATGGGTTCAAGATGAAAACCCGCAAAGGGCGTCTTGCAACCAAGGATGAGTCCAAGTTGAAAACTCGAAAGGGAGATTTGGACATCAAGAAATCCCGATAATAGAAGCATCCCGACATCTGAAGCTTCTGCAAACTCAACAAGTCGGAGAAAGGTTGCACACTCCATAACGTTATTGTATTTTCAAATATCCATTGGCAAAAGCTGTGTTCAAAGTCAAATGATGGCTTTCCAGCTCAGAAGTGCCCACATTATCGAGATCTAAGACATTCATTTCATACTTAATCATGTATTCATTTTCTAGAATGTTTGTCATGTATTATTTGTTATTCTTTCCCAAGAATAAAAGACAATCTTTTTCTCTAAACCAATTCCTTTTGAGCATCTTGGATTGAGCTTAAACTTAATGATTTGTTTACTTATGCAAAAGATAGTCGCATATTACTGTACAAAGATTCATTGAAAAGTACAGGTACTCGGAAGCCGATCAAGGCTCAGGCACATACTTGGGATGGTCAGGAAGCATTTCTCAAATCAAAAAATAGAATGTGCACATCAGATTTGAACATTTGAAGAATTCGAGGTCAGGGATCAGAACTTAAAGATTCTAGAATCAAGATCCCAGAAAAGCAACCGGAGATCGAGATTTCTCTCATGAGCCCAAAAATAACATATGTTGCATATGCATTTTAGGCATACCTAAGAGCATTGCATTCATCTCATCACATATATGCATGACATTTTCAGGTTTTAGCTAGAGTCAATTTCAACTTCGCAGCGAAGGATATTGAGCTCAAAGCTACACAATAAGCTTGAGAGTAGATTTCAACTTCATGACGAAGGGTATCTAGCTCGAAGCCAAACTTCACAATAAAGGGGTCTCCACGGTTTCAACTTCACGGCGAAGGGAATTGTGTCCACCCGCAACATACAATACTTGGATTTCAACTTCACGACGAAGGATATTCAAGTCAAGGCTCAACTTCATGACGAAGCGACCATCCACGATTTCAACTCCATGACGGAGGATATCGTGCCATTTGAGGCTCAACTTCACGAAGAAGGGGCTTCCCAACTTCAGAGCCAATTTCAACTTCACAGCGAAGGATATTGGACTCAAGACAGCACAAGCTCAACTTCACGGCGAAGGGGCAGCTGACTGTCAACAAATAATTTCCCAACTTCAGAGCCAATTTCAACTTCATAGCGAAGGATATTGGACTCAAGACAGCACAAGATCAACTTCACGGCGAAGGGGCGGCTGACTGTCAACAAATAATTTCCCAACTTCAGAGCCAATTTCAACTTCACAACGAAGGATATTGGACTCAAGACAGCACAAGCTCAACTTCACGGTGAAGGGGCGCCTGACTGTCAACAAATAATTTCCCAGTTCTAGAACCAATTTCAACTTCACGGCGGAGGATATTGGACTCAGAGCAATACAACTTACTTGGATTTCAACTTCACAACGAAGGACATCCAATTACCAGGCTCAACTTCACGACGAAGGGGCCACCCGCAGTTTCAACTTCACGACGAAGGGAATCGTGCACACAAGTAGCATCCATCTCTAGATTGGATTTCAACTTCGTGACGAAGGATATCCAACTCAAAGGTGGAGTGTCTGTCAATAAACTTTCCAGTTTCAGAGTCGATTTCAACTTCACAGTGAAGGATATTGACCTCGAAACAACGCAACTTACATTGGATTTCAACTTCACGACGAAGGATATCCAATACCCAGGCTCAACTTCACGACGAAGAGGCCCTATACGATTCCAACTTCACAAATAGATTGACCCAACTTCACGACGAAGGAGTCATCTGCAACACATCAACACCGAAGTCTTCAGGACAAGTTTCACCTTCACAACGAAGTATCTTGAGCCAGAGGACGATCCCGGAGTCACTTGCCAAAAGCTTTGAGTTCGATTTCAACTTCACAACGAATGATATCGTACTCAGAATTTTCCAGTTTTGACTCAACCTCATGACGAGGGGTCATTTCGTGATTGACAAACCAGTTTCCATATCGGATTTCAAATCTACGACAGAGGATATTCGATATGACCGAAATTTGTGTCTTTTAATCTTTGCTCTATTTTTGTTACACGATAATGAGCAAAGAGGGGCAGCTGTAGACACGTCATTTCTGTCACATATATTTTACATATATATATATATATATATTCATTATTTATTTTTCTTTTGTTTTGTAGGCCCAAGCCCGGTGTTTGTACAAAGAAGGGCAGTAGCCCGTGACCTGAACTGGTTAGGCTAGGGTTTGAGAAACCCTAGCTTCACACTTTGCTCCCCAGCGCCACAAGCCTCCACCATGGAGAGTCCACACTTTCCACGCTTCCCTCGACTGAGTCCACCGCCGATTTTCACGGCTCCATAACCAAGCAACTCGAGGATTAGTTCAAGTAGGACTCTGTTATAGCCTAAAAATAAGAGTAGATGAACACTATAAATATATTAATCCATACTGTTTTTGGGGATTGATATACAAAAAATCACACGATTATACAGTGGAAATTTCATTCAAAGTACACGCAATACAAACAATTCTCATAGCCGAGATACGCAAAGAACGAACGTTTTAAGCATTTATGCATAATTTCGAAGCAAAAGTAAGAATAAAAAGCTTACCTTTTTTATTTATTTGGCTTGCATGTGGCTCGTTTTCTTTATATTCTCTTCCTTTTGACTCGAACAAGGCCAAACGCCGATGACCAAAGGGGGACGGGTTTCGAAACTTCGAACCCAGGTCTAGCCTCGAGGCATACGTTTTAAAAAAAGGTTTCAATTTTTAAAAAAGAGGGGTGAAAAAGCTTTTAGATTTTTTAAAAAAAAGGCGAGGCGGCGCGCGGTGTCTTATTTATGGGTTCGCTGGAACCACCACCGTGTTCTTTATTCATGAAGAACAATGGAGAGAATTTTCGAAAGGGGGGGGGGGTTGTTTCAAATGAAAAACATGAAAGGTTTTTTAGCTAATTATTGAGTTATATACTAGACCCATAACACCCGAACCGACCCGTGCGACCTGACCCAGGGAGTGTGACCAGCGTGTTTCTGAGTTTAAATGGGGTTAATCCCACTTTTGGTCCCTTCTTGTTCGTAGGCTTATGTTTTACCCCCTAATTCGAATTCAAACCCCGATTTTCTTCTAATTTAGCCCTCTATTTCACACTTTTTTTTATTTAATCCTTCGTTGGTAATTGCTTTATCTTTTTACTCTATTTTGTATTATTATTATATATTTTTCCTTTTTCCTAATATTTAATCATATATATGTGCGCATGTATATATGTTTATTATTATTTATTATTGTATGTATATTTATTTTCATTTATTCGTTTTATTTAATACTACATTTGATATTTACGTATATATATTCTTTGTGTTTTTAATTACCATTTTATATGTACATGTTTAATTTTTTTTCCTTTCCTTTATTTATTTCATATGTTTATTTTATTTATTACTATATATATATATATATATATATATATATATGTATCTTTTTCCTATTGTTTATATCTTTATTATTGTTATTACCATCATATATATTATTTTTATATTCTATATTTTTTCTCCTCATTTCATTTATTTTCCATTTTACCTTAGGTGTTTTATTTGCATTTTTTTTCTATCTAATATATTTCTTGATCTTTTAAGGGCAATTAAAGTAATCTAAGGTAAGTGATTTGGATCACTATTTTACCTCTTAATTTAAATTTACATATTTCTTAACTAAAGACAACTGGAAATTATGTAGTATCGAAAGGGCAGTTCAAGGGTGCTAACCCTTCCTTGACTGTAACCGACTCCCGAATCCGACATATTTCTGGTAAAACGCAGATCAGGTAAGATGGTATCTGACCCACCTAAATTCGTTTTAAAGTGGTCGGTGGCTACTCTAACCCAATTATTTCAAGTCAAAGCCCAATTTCGGGTCCAACTGAAAGACGGTTACGACATGTTCTTTGGATTTTTGATTTTATAAAAAAAGTTTTTCATTTTGTGATTGTAGGATATTTAAGAATTCTGTTGAATTGCAATGCTTTTGCCATATGCTTTTCCAGCAAAAGACTTTTTTCTGCTCTCTATTTTCTAAGGTGAGAATTGCATCAACATTGTACGCTTTGTCTGCTTTCGAGAAATGATAGACTTGAATATGATTAAATTTGGGATTGCAACTTTGTTTGTGATGCTGTGGATGGTTGGTGTGCTCGCAAATTCAACCAAGGTATGGTTTTTAATCTTTAAAAGTTCTGAATGTATTCCAAGTAATAATGTAAAGATGGCATATGTGTAATCTAAATTTAGGATAAAATATAGCACATAGAGGAATTTAGTTACCAAGTTTTCATTCTTTGTGGGATGTTAAAAGGAAGGAATGTATGCCCCGTTGATACGGCATCTCAAAGATACAAAATATGATTTATTATTATTATTATTATTTTATAAAAAGATATGCTTTTTCTTCTCAGCTTCGACATTTGGAGCTGTTCTGGACATGGTAACAGACAGGTACACTATCTCTATCTGTGATAGACATTGAGCTTTCGGGATACTTTACAGCTTCTCGATTCTGTAATTCAGGATTAGCACTGCTTGTCTACTGGTTATACTTTCTCAAGTGTATAGGTAAGTTCTTCCATTCCATTCGTTTGTGTTTATATTTCCAAATTGATATACTTGCATCCCACTATATCTGTCACGTTTCTATGGGGGCCTAGCTTGGTTTTCTCGTCTCTGCTAGCCATGGATATTGCTAGCCACTGGCTGCAGATTTACAGGTAGCTCCTTTTCCTTGAAACACATTTCATTCCGTATTTTTATAGAACTCGGGTACGTCTTTCTTTGTTAACTTCTGAAGCTTCTTTTATGCCCATAGCTCCAATAACAAGCAATGTAAAGCCCACCACCCTTGTACACCAAGTCCGGATAATTTCAATGTGGAGGCGATCCTTGAGAATTAGAAATAGCATACCAAAAATAACCTGACCAGCATCATGGCCACAACCCCATAGAGCTCCAACAACAGCGCTTTCCATTCGAGTCCGACCAATAGATAGTGGAGCCAAAGCAGCAAGGTGGTCCGGCCCTTGTAGGGTGTGTAAGCAGCCAGCAAAGAAACTGGACACTGTACTACTTAGTAATTTAGCACGTATTACTCCCCCCCTCTGCAGCAGCTGCAGTTCCACCGGCTGTAGCTCCAGTTTGAAAGGTTGCAAAAGCTGCTGGTGCAAAAATTGGTCGGATCAAGAACATGATAATGGCAGAGATTGCTATAAACGTCCCAGCTGTGATTGCCTGAAAAGTTTTCGCAGAGAACTTAATACTAATGTCGTAACCGGCTTTCGCTGGGCACGAAATTTTTACTCGGAGGGAAAAGTGATGTGAATAAATTGTTTTTAAAATGATTTGGGAGTCGCCATCGACCTTTTGGGTCAGATAGGTCGAATACCTAAAAATTATATTTTAAAAGAGCTTTTAAGAAAACATCAGTCAAAAGATAAACCAGCCTGCGTTTTAACCAAAGATTCGTTCTTTTTAATAATAAAAAGGGATTCGTGGTCTGTTACGTTTAGGGAATGATTAGCACCCCTACAACGCCCAAAATTGGTACTTTATTAATTATAAATTGTCTCTATTATTGGAAATTTTAAAAGTTCAAAAATATATTTAATTCATAATCCTGTTATTTCAATTTTATTAATGTAATTTTAAGAAAATATATTAATATATACATATCTTTATTTTTATAAATAAGATATTTATTTACTTAGAAATATCAGAAAATGACTTCTAGGTGCCTTAAGATAGCTCTTTTCTTCGATATTAAAAAATAAATAAATAACTAAAAAAACATTTTTCTAAAAATAATTAATATATAATTTATAAAAACATGATATTTATTTATTTAAGAATATCAGAAAAGGACTTCTAGGTGCTTTAAGACAGCTCTTTTCTTCGATATTAATAAATAAAATAAATATTAAAAATGTAATAATTTTTCATAAAAATGATTTAAATAAAAATAAATTATAATTTTTATAATATTTAATTTAAACAAATATATATAAATATATTTATAAGACTAAGATAATAATAAAATAATAATTAAAGCCATAATTAAAATATAAAAGTAATAACAAAATAATATTGTAATTAAATAATGATCAAAATAAAAGAAATTAAAATTATAAAACTAAATATAAAGTATTAAAAATAAAGATAATAATTCGAAATATTATAAAAGATAATGATTAATAGTATAATTTAACCTATTTAATTAATCGGTGATTCAAATAATAATTATTAAAACTTAAGGGACTAAATTTATTATTTACCCTAAAGATATATAAACACTAATAATGACTAAATTATATATAAATAAAATTCGGAAACAAAATCAAAATGCATAAAAAATTCAATTCCAGTGACTAAAATAGAACTTTATAAAACCTGGAGTACTGCGGGTATGGTTTTTCCGTAGGAAAATTACACACCCCTCCCCCAAAACGACGCTGTATGGGGGAGGGTTTATAAACCCATTAACCGGCCTAGAAGGGCTCTAAGCCCTTCATTTCTTTTTTTTTCTCTCTCTAAAAAAAGAGAACAATTCTCTCTGTCTTCTCAGACGAGGGAAACCGACTGGTCGCCTTATTCTGGCGTCGGCACCACCGCCGGCCACCGCCCACGGTGGCTGAAAACTTACAAATTACCCTAGGATATAGATCTTGTTGTTCTAAGGCCGAATCCGACATCCATTTTTCCTAAAAATCCCTGGAATTTCCTAGATCTAAGAAAATACCTTCGGTATTTTCACTGTTCGACGGCGGTTTGGAGGGATCCGATGGTCATGGCTTCCTCGGTAAGTTTCTCTCCTCTCTTTTCTTTCAATATTTGGCTACTGTGGGTGGTTGCTTGCTGTTGGTCTCTGGCTTCCATTCTTGTTCTCTATGTTTCTGTATGTTCTTCTTCTTTTCTGGTTTTTTTCTTCTCCTTTCGGGTTCTTGCCCTCTGTCGTAGCTCTCTGTCTCTCTTTTTTTCTTTGCAGGTGTGGTGGCCATATTTATAGGCCATCACGGTGTTTCTCTTAGACCAGTTTAAAGGAGTGACCCTAGGCGAGTCACCAAACTATGGTGGTGACTCACCATAAGGTAGCAACGTGGATGGCTTAGTGGCGCTTCTGGAGGCTTCTTTGAGGCGGCGGTGTCGTGGCTACAGCGGGGTGGAACACCTGGTAGAGGCGTCGGCTGCTGCAGGAGACTATTGGAATCATCAGAGGCGGCTGGAAACTGAACCGTTGGCTGGGGCGACTGGAATTTTTAGAAAACCTTAAAAAGGTTAGGGTTTCTCGGGCCTTAGGGTTTAAATGTAATTGGGCTATGTAATTTTTTATTTAATAATAATAATAATATAATATAATAATAATATAATATAATAATAATAATAATAATAATAATAATAATAATAATAATAATAATAATAATAATGAAAAAAATTAATGTCTACAGCTACCCCTCTTTGCTCATTCTTGTGTTAATAAGAATAGAGCAAAGACGAAAAAGACAATAATTTTTCATTTGGCCTCTTTTGAGTATGATGGAAATGTTTGAAAACATCATGCACTGAAGGGCTTATAAATGACCCGAAGGTTTTGAAAATATCATGTACTGAAGGGCTTATAGACGACCCGAAGGTTTTTGAAAACATCATGCACTGAAGGACTTACAGATGACCCGAAGGTTTTGAAAACATCATGCAATGAAGGGCTTACAGATGACCCGAAGGTTTTGAAAACATCATGCACTGAAGGACTTACAGATGACCCGAAGGTTTTGAGAACATCATGCACTGAAGGACTTACAGATGACCCGAAGGTTTTGAGAACATCAAGCACTGAAGGACTTACAGATGACCCGAAGGTTTTTGAAAACATCATGCACTGAAGGGCTTACAGATGACCCGAAGGTTTTGAAAACATCAAGCACTGAAGGACTTACAGATGACCCGAAGGTTTTTGATAACATCAAGCACTGAAGGGCTTACAGATGACCCCGAAGGTTTTGAAAACATCAAGCACTGAAGGGCTTACAGATGACCCGAAGGTTTTGAAAACATCATGCACTGAAGGACTTACAGATGACCCGAAGGTTTTTGATAACATCGAAGGGCTTACAGATGACCCGAAGGTTTTGAAAACATCATGCACTGAAGCACTTACAGATGACCCGAAGGTTTTGAAAAATATCATGCACTAAAGAGCTTACAGATGTGGGAAATAGTTTACTAAGTAAGAAACTATGAAAATCGTTTTCTTACTATTCAACAATTTCATTTTTAGAAAAGATTAAATGAGAAATTTTGAAAATCATTTTCTCATTGAAATAACTTGTTGATTGGGTAACATGTCCCAAGATAATGCTCATTCTTGTGGATTGTGTCCATCTATTCTTCAGATGTTTACGTGATTCCTGTATTTATGGTTTAGAATACCTTCTTATTGTAAGGTATTTTTCATCATGAATCTTCTTGTTCATACGAAGATCTGTAAAACTTCATATTTGAATGCACTCAGATGTATCAATGTAATGCATTGTCTATTGTGTAAATGATGTTCTTATGAATGCATGAATGTTGATGCAATGTTTATTTGACTTCAAAGTGGCGAACTCGGTCTTCCTTCACTTCATCATTTATTGCCAGGGTTACCTTTCGGATATCAGTGTAGCAACCTATGCCATAAAGCTGAAGAACCATCTGATTAATCTTGTATATTTGTGTCTTCTTCTTTTGCATTAAATTCTCAGAAGAAATGTTTCATTTATGGAACTCTTGCCGTAATCAGAACTATGATCTTGATGCCCCATTTTTTCTGGATAAAACCGACTTTCTTTGTCTGGACTTGTGTAGAAATCCAATAAAGCTTTCATCTTTGAAAAAAGAATCTATTATCTTTAAAGAGATAGTCTATCATCTTTGAAAAATGTAGATGTAGATATGTCATACTCAACAGGGATTAATTAGGAGAGCAATGTCTGTTCTGATTTGACTCTTACAACACATTATAAGGAGGATGTATCCTGATTCCTTTCATGTCTCCACATCTAATTGGATCTAGAATAAGGCAACTTGTCATTCAACTTTAGTTGGCTTCACTAGTTTCTTGTTGTAAAATATTTGACAACACGTTCATCATTTCTTGTGATTTTTGCACAGATATTTTGTAAACATTTAACAATACATTCGTCATTTCCTGTGGCTTCTGCGCAAATTTCTCAATCAAATGAAGCTCTTTGCATAGTGTTCAAAGCTTTTGTATGATGTCACAAGACCACTTGAGAACAAAACTCAGTGGGGATACAAGTGAGATGTTGGTATGACCAAAAAGTTGGTCAAATTCACGATATTTGCTAGTGCCGAGTTGAATAAGAGATACCAACTGATCTTGATATCATCTTGAGCAAGGGCAAGTGTGATATCGATCACGTTTTCTTCTTAAATGAGCATTATAGAAAGTAGAAACACTTCAGCTATAGGATCCATGTACATAAGGAGGTTTATGGAATTCTTGTCATTGGGGATGAAACGCACAGGGTAAACCAAATAGATGAAAACTCGATTTGCCCTGGCTGGTAATGATAACCCCGTTAACAACGGGAATAAGAATAACATAAGTTGAGCCTCTTTATTCAATATCATCAAGTAAACAAACACTGATATGAAAAACAGCTTCGTGATCTCAACAACACAGTTGAAACTAACTGCCAGAAATCTCAAAGAAATAAGTT